GCCGTCCTAGGATGGCGTGATAAGTCCCCTTGAACCCCACCACCTCGAAGGTGAGGTCTCCTCTGCGGTAGTTGGAGGGGTGTGCGAAGGCAGGCAGGTAAGTCTATGTGCCCAAGGGGTCGCGCGCGCATCCCTGGCATGATGCCGTGGAAGGGCGTGGCGTCGCCTCGGAGTTGTGTGACGGTCGAGCCCTAGGAGCCCCAGCGTGTTGGCGTCACAGGATGTTGAGGCCTTTGCCTCCGTCCATCAACACCTTGGTGAGTCGGGTGTTCCGATGATCGGGTCAACGACGAGAGTCTTGGCGGGGTTTGGGACATGATCGGGTGGTCATCCCGATCGAAGGTGATCACCTCCCCGAGACCGGTCGAGTCTTTGGGAGTGGCCACCTTAAGCGAGAAGACCTCTCGGCGTTCCCTTTTTTCATTTGTCGCGCCGTGAGGCATGTCGAGGGCCCACCGAAGATCATGAAGGCATTGTGTACCTCGGGGAACCCGTCGTCCTTGTCGTTGTCTCCGTCGTCCTGGCCCCTCTTCTTGGCATCGTCGTTGGGGAGCCCAAGCTTGGCGTAGTATCACCGGAGCATGGTGCACTCCTCGAGGGTGTGCTTTACCGGGCCCTGATGGTATGGGCAGGGTCTTTTAAGCATGTTGTCGAAGAGCCCTGGGCCTCGGGGATTCTTGCGGTCCATGGCGCATGACGAGCCTGACCTCGAGAACCTCTGTTTCCCTGGCGCCCCTTCTCTTTTTTTTGGGGGGCGAGCGAGACGAGGCCCAGGGGTCTCATCCCGCCTCTTCCCCTTGGAGTCGTTGTTGGGGAAGATGGCCCCGACGGCCTCTTCGCCAGAGGCGAAGCTGGTGGCAATGTCGAGGAGTGCGGACACCGTGGTCGGTACGCTCCGGCCTAATTCTCGGACCAGGTCTCGACAGGTGGTGCCGGAGAGGAATGCCTGGACGATTTCTGAGTCGCCGACACTGGGCAACTCGGTGCATTGCTTGGAGAAAGCGTCGGATGAAGTCTCGGAGAGACTCGTCCGACCTCTGGCGGCAACTCTTGAGGTCCCAGGAGTTCCGGGCGTAGCGTAAGTGCCCGGAAATTCCAACGAAGACCTTTACCAAGTCGCGCCCGATCGTGGATTTGCATAGGGGAAGGTGTTGAGCTGGGCTCATGGTTGAGAGTCGACAGAAATAGGGGAGGTTGCGGATGATGAGCAGGTCATCGTCCGCACCGCCTAGTGACAAGCAGAGACGGTAGTCGGCCAACCATAGCTCGGGGTTGGTCTCGCCATTTGTACTTTGAGAGATTATTTGTTGACGACGTAACCGGGCCGGAAGCGAAGCTGCGGATGGCCTTCTTGAAAACTCTAGGGCAGGCGGCCGGGAGAAATATCGCGGTCCTCCCATCATCATAGCGACCGCCTCGATGCAATTAGTAGCCCCGGGCGGCCCCATTGTGGTCGTGGCGCCGTCGTCTGCTGCCCACATGGTGGCCGTTTTGCGCCTCGCGTTGGTCGTCGAGGCGGTCGTGCACCGAGGGGGCCCTGAGGTGGTCGTGCACCGAGGGGGCCCTGAGGCGATCGCGCCGAGGGCTGTTTCGAGGCGCCCCGCGTCGTCGAGACGCGGAGCTTTCGGCTTCTTTGCGCATGGCGGTCTCGAAGGCCCGAGTTCGCCGTGGACCGTCGCCCCTCCGTGGTAGAGGCTCGGGCATCGCTTCGAACCGATATCGCCGCCCGCGGCGACGTTACGCTAAGCGCGATTGAAGACGGGGTTGCTCGCCCCCTCATCATCGTTAATCTGGCGGTTGGCGTCGCGAGCCCTGAGCCGGGCCGTTCCACCATCATCGCGCGCCCCGCTCTTGCTCTTGCTCGAGGGTGGCTCGAGCTGCTGCGGGAGGAGTCAATCTTGCTCGACCTTGGTTTGAAGCTCAGCTGCTCTAGGTCTATCGCGTCGAAGTTGCTCGGGGTGGGGACACACCGCCGCTTGTTGGCGGGGACCCCGTGCGTGGTGGTGTGGCGTTGGCTGCCCTTCCTCCATCGTTGCCGTGCTCGGCATTACGAGTCCGATGTGGAAACACTCACGAGTCGGGTCGTAAGCGTCCTCGTCGCCGGAATCGAGTAGCGAAGCGATGAGTCGCTTCGCGATCATGAAGCGCGCGCATCGCCTCGTGGTCGTGAAGCCGGAGAAATTCTGCTCCAACCCACGCCTCGTCCTCTCCGAGGAGTCGAGTGGGGTGGATTGGAGTTGTGACTATGGGGTTATGGGCATGGCGTTGATGAATGGAGACAAAGGCGGTGGCGAGGAGGCGGCGACATTGGTCAGCCCGAAAAAGTGCTGGGGATGGCGCCGTCGCCGGGCTCGGCTCCGTCGAGCTGGCTCCTCGGGAGGAGGCGGGGGATGAGCTTGATGATGGGGCGTCGGCATGCGCCACCGCCCTTTTTCCCCTGTCGAGGCTTAAGCGAGACGAGTCCCCGTCTGAGGACTCTGTGTGCGGTGATGGGGTATGGGATTCAGTGGAGCACGAATCGGCGTTCTGTACTTTGCGCGGTGTTAGGGGTGGACTGCGCGCATGGGCGCTGGCGAAGCTTGACGAGAGCGGGCGGCGGGCGTCCGTCGTCGCGTGAGTTGCCGGTGCGCGTGGCGTCGTCGTCGGTTGATGGCGCTCTAGGTGAGAGGAGTACCATGTCGTACTCGTGCCCTAGAGACATGAATTCTAGGCTCCCAAACAGACGATCGTCCCGAGACGCATAGCGATCGCACGGGATCTGCTCGCTATCCGAATCTGGTGGGATGACTAAGCCGACACGTGAGAGGCCCCTACGGCGCGCGCTAATCGCCGGCGTTGGAACCGGGGTCCTTAACCGACTAGTGAATTTGTCTTTGCGTGCTCCCAATTCCGGATGGTGATGCAAAGAGACACAAGGTTTATCTTGGTTCGGGCAATGGATGCCCTACGCCCGATCCGAGAAGATGTTCTTGTATTCCCTTGCACCGGGGTGCTCGTAGTAGGGGTTACAAGCTAGGCGAGAGAGGAGTTCGTCCCGGTCTCTGTGAGGGGAGGTGATATGAATTCTGAGAATGAGGCGTGTTGTTCGTATGCGAGTATTCGTGACTCTATCCGCCGTCCCTAGAAAGCGGTCTCCGCCGCCTCCTTTTATAGCCGCAGGAGGAAACCAGGAGTACATAAGAGAGCTACACGTGGAGCGGACTATTCGATGACGTATTTACTCACGGAGCAGCATGGCGTTGTCGTGGGAGTTCCGTAGATGTCTAATCGGTATGGTCTCCTTTGCAAGTAACATCTTTGCGCATTTGTTGGCTTGGTGGATTTGCGAAGCTCGGCGGCCATCATAGCCGGTCGTCCGAGGGCTGTTGTGCGAGGCGCTGCCGTCTTGCCGAGGCCTGCCGTGCGAGGCACGAGAAGTGACCCAGTGTAGATGCGGGTCTCGGCCGCCATCGGCGGAATAAAGGCGAGACGGCGCGCCTACGGGATCTGATACTGTGTTGTCGATGGGGATGGCAAAAAAGGTGATCGACCGTTGTCCCGTCGCTCCTGCGGTAAGACTTGGCGATCGTGGCTTACGAAGCGGGTGCGGTGGCGCGTAATCGGATGCGACAGCCTGCCAGAGAGACCTTTGAGGCGGAGGCGACGAGGTTGCGGGACGAGCCCGGCCTCGGGCGAGGCGGAGCGCGGCCAATTCGTCCGAGGCCCTACCGGGGGGTCTCGGGCGAGGCGGAGAAAGATCAGTGAATCCGTGGCACCGTCGTGGGGGCTCGGGCAAGACGGAGCGGTCGGTCCGCTGATTCCGAGGCTACAGGAACCCGTTCTGACTCCCCACGTTGCGATGTCTTTGGTGCAGGAGTTAGGCAGCACAGTGGTCGGTAACCCCTGCTCTGTGCCGTCGCAGATGGCAGGAGGTTGACGCGACTGGCGTGTAGTCGGTCACCGGCCATCTTGTGCCATCGTGCGTCTGTCGGAGTGGTTGGGCGCTTGGATGCGACGTTCGGTCAGAGCAGTTCGGTCGAAGAGGCGGTCACGGGGCTGGTCCCGAGCCGGCCTCGCGCGAATCGGAGAATCGGCACTTCTTTCGAGGCCCCGGACGAGGGGGGCTCGACGAGGGGGCCTCGGCGAGGCGGTCTCGGGCGAGTCGGAGAATCGTTTGCTTCCGCTGGGGCTCGGCGACGGGGTCTCGGGCAAATCGGAGATTTCGGCCGAGACCTCGTTTGTTTATTCCGTTGGTTCTGTTTTTAGGGTCTAAGCAGTTTTTTCGATCTTTGCTTAGGGTACCCTATTTTCTGGTATCCGACACTTTTCATATGAAATCATCTAAGAAAAATTCAAATTTCACTGCACAACTCCTATTTTGGTCGTTTCACTGTACCAAAACCAAAGTTATAACTCTTCGATAACTTTGGTTTTGGTCATTTCTCTATCCAAAGTCGTTAAAAAAAATCAAATTTCACTGTACAACTCCTATTTTTAGAAGCCATCTCTAAAATCGATTTTTAGATATAGCTGAAAATAGAGTCATCTCTGAAAGTATGAGCATTTCTAGAGACGGCTCGATTCGGTCCGGTTTGTAGACTCTATTGCAAGTTCTTTTATGAGTTTGTTTCATTCTTTTGATTACGTCAGTTCCACTGAAGTAACAAACGCTGATTAGTGGAAGGCATACTCGTGTCTTTAGTGCATTAATCTTACAACACCGTCACCTCTACTCTTAGACCTTACTGTATGTGTAACCTTAATGCAGAGGAGAGATGATTGACCACAAATTCACAACATATGGGAAATCCAGCCACACCTCCCAAAGACACCCAGAAAAGAAAGTTTTCCAAGAAGTTTCATTCTGCAGCGGTCTGAAGTCTAAACTGACACGCATTTTTCACAACCACAACACCAATAACAACAAGCACGAGGAACACACTCCTACTAGAAGACAGCAGCTTAAAGCATGCAAGATGGCGGTGGCTGTCGCAGCAGGCGCCGCGAAGGTAAATGCACGATCAAACTCTAAGGAGGTAGATGCTAAGCTCCGGGCCACCATTGCCGCCGGTGCTGCTGTCCGGGTTCATCATGTAGAATGCCTCCGAGTCGCGGGAGCCCACGACGCGCTCGAAGCGAGCGCGCATGTACATGACGTCGCCCTCGCCACCGCCGCACGCCGCCGGTATGACGCCCGCGCCCATGGACACGGGCTCCAGCGCGCGCAGCACGCGCCAGTCCGCGGCGCCGCACTCGCGCCGCACCGCGTACCCGCAGCCCTTGCCGTTGCAGTACGCGCGCCACGCCTTCTCCTCAACCAGCTTCCTGCAGCCGCCGCCGCCGCCGCCGCCGCCGCCATTGGTCGCGGCCGCGGCGCTGGCGGCGCCCTTGGCGCGGTCGCACTCGAGCGCGATGCGGACGAGGCCCGAGGCCATCTCGCGCACCAGCGACGCCGTGGGCGCGGCGAGCTCGAGCAGCAGCGCGGGGCACGCGCGCGGGTCCACCTGGAACGCGAGGTGCACGTGGCCGCGGCGGTGGCCGTAGAGCGTGCCCGTGAGCCGCGCTCCGAGCCCGACCTGCCGGTGCCGGCCGGCGATGGCCGCGGCAAGCGCCGTGCGCAGCCGGGAGACCGCCGTGCGGCACTTCTTGCTGCGCTGCTTCGGTGGAGGTGGCGCCTTGGGCGGCGGGGACACGAAGTCCTCCGAGCGGAACGACGGGCAGGTGGAGGAGAACGCCATGGCCGACTCGTCCTCGTCGTCGGCCTCCGAGCCCTTGCCGGAGCCATCCTCCCCGCCGCCGGCAGCGGCGCCATGGCTGCTGCTCTTGACAAGAACCGGCCACTTGAAGTTCCTCCGGGAGAAGGAGAAGGAGGAGTCGTGGGGGCTCCTCGCCGTGATGGTCCTCATGGTTCCTAGCTTAGCTGTGGGCGAGAGTGTGGTGGTCTCCGAGTGCAGTGGGATGGAGGCTTTGTATACTGCGAGCGAGACTGGTGAGCAGAACCCACCAAACTGAGCACAGCAGCAGGCAGGGGAGAAGACAGAAGAGAAGCGCGAGAGCTTCTCGGCTTTGTCTTGTTCCCGGCCTGGCTCTGCTCCTGCTCTGATGTGTTGTGTTTGCATGTGGAAAAAAATGGAAGACAAGCTGCAGATTCTGGCAGGCCGTGAGCAGTACTAATCCATTTGACAAACGATTTTAGTATGTTGGAGATCAGGGCGTGCCGGGCATGATGGTTTGGCGCGCCTTCGTTTGACAGGTGAATTGTTTACTCTATAGTAGTGTTCAGGAGCCAAGATGTTCTGATGTTGCGGTGGACAGTGGTTAATGTACAAAGCTTGTTCCCGTTCACAGGATTATGCCGGATGGCTAAAGATGTGAAAGATTTGATATCCGTATCTGTTTTAATGTTAATATGTATATCTATATTTAGATCTAAGTTTAATATGAATGCTAAATAGATGTATTCAATATGTTTTTTTGTGATTATTCTCTATCCGATTCTATATGCATATTAAAAAAAATGAAATATCGGACATTATTTGCATCAGTGAAGAATAAAATACTGAGTAAAACCATCTAAAACTTGTACCTATGACCAATAAACAATGTAAATGATAATAATTTAATATAAAAGATGATAGGCATCAATTAAACTATTTTAATATTAATAAAGGTTAACTTTAATTTATGATAACTTCGTAACTTGTATTCATTATAATTTAAAACTATCAAAAATTGTATTTATGATAATTCAAATATTATTGATGATATATAAAGGTTAAGTTTAATAAACTTTAATGTGGATAATCATATTAGTTTAAAGTGCTTCATTTTATATGGATTTTTTTATATATATTTAAATTTATTTATTTATTTATAAATATTTATCTGTATTGAAATATTTGTCAACGCTTTAATTGCTTTTCCTTATATTTGATTATTGAAATGTGTATTAATATATATGTTATTTCTAGGAGTTGTCTTTATCTATAGGTGTTATCATATAGTCATTTTAATTCCATACATGCATACTGGTTTTACTCTACTTCCTCCATCCCAAAAATCATGTAAATCTCACTTTTTAAGGCAAGATTAGTAGAAGTGTGGAATTATGCATATGCCCCTCATATCCTTCTTCTCATGAGAGCAAGTATAATAGCAGACTGTAAGCCGGCTGAATGCTGAGGTGGAGGAGAGAGAAGAGAAGCGCGCTGTAAGCTTACAGCCGGTTTACACACAAGAACCGAGAAACTTTGTACGAGAGACAAGTGTGCCATGCTCTGAGCTAGAACTTGAGGAATCTAGAGTGTTCATTCAAAATACAGCTTGTGATGCCTTTGTTTTCCAAAGGTGTAGTGTTTTTTATTGGTGGGGTCCACCTAAAAAGATGACCTGTACCCTAGGAATACATGAATTTTAAGACAAATGTAGGTGAAATTTCCGGCTAGCATTGAGTGACGAAATTCAACCAGTTTGGTGGACCAGTGGTGACTAGCATTTGAGCGTTTGAATGAACTGTATCTTTATTGGGGGACAAACTCCTTAATCCTGGTACAGACGTAATTATGCAAGCATGTGTCGCTCTCTGAAAGCCAATTCGGCACATGGTGCCTTCGAGTGTACTGATTCCTCGTCCGTTCTGATCAGGAGTACTTCCATGGCTACTGCAGCTGGTGCTTCCATGCGGGGCGGGTAACGGCGCCCTCAGGCCCTGTTTCGAAGCTCTGTGATGCTTTTCACATGTGAGTTAGCATGAGAGGGGAAGAAAAATAGAACACGAGCGAGGAGGGTTGGGGACGGAACTCTGAATACTTAACAGAGTTTCAGTTTAGCTGTACAATTGTCTGCCAAACGCCTCTCAAGACTCAAGTGCTAGCATTTATACAGGAGCCATGCCTTCCACTTCTGTACCCACTGGCGGACTCTCTTGGGCCGAGACGACGGAGATGGGTCGGAGTCTTGTGTTGTCGGGTCGGAAACAGCAGAGCTCTCCTCAGCAACCCTGAAGCACTTGTATTTTCTTTTGCACAAGAAAACCAGTGTAATATCTCTTCTCCAACATCTAAAAATAGTCAAAGTATTTTATCGACCCAGGGATCGGTGACAAACACCTCAGAATATTTCTGGAGCCGATAAGGCCTTGTTTGAATGTTATCGTATTCCCCTCGATGCACACGTGTTGTAAAAGACCTTGCAGAAGGGAAGGGTAAAATGGCAAAAACCAATTACATAGCCAAAGGTCCCCTAGTATATATACCCTCACCATGTACTTTTCACGGCATGATGCCTCTTTGAACCATATGTGTCATTCCACTCCAAGCCTTATTTGAATGCTATCGTATTTACCTCAATCCACATGTGTTGGAGTGGATTGGAGTCGAATTTTGTTCCAATTCCACTCCAATCCACTCCAATATATGTGGATTGATGTAAATCTGACTACATCTAAACAAGGCCTCAATTGTGTCAAGTCTTTCGGGCACGACACCACTGAAATGCATAAACGTTATGGGGATTGTTCATAGGTTATGCATCCGAGAGAAGGAATCACTCTGCAGAGCATGTCTTGTGTTAAATTAGGTTACTGGTTACACATCCTATAGGTTGCTGCTCAACGATTACAAGGCATCTACAATGGTGTTGAGAGCTTGAGAAAGCAAGAATCTGATAAAATTCAAGACAGCAAAAGACTCGAATTGCCACCAGGATGTGTTGGTCCACTCAGATTTCACTAATATAGAATAGAACAAGTAACACCGTTGTGATAATACCTCCACCCCAGTTGACTCTGCTAACCGGCATATCAGAAGTAGCCGACGCCCTTGACTTCGCCTAACTTTGGAGCATTCATGTCATTACCCAGAAACAAGAGACGACCTGTTACATGACGATGTCATAATCTGGTAGGCATAAACACCAGTGCAAAATCTCAACATAATCTGTCCACATGAGACCTAACATTACTTTGCATGAGAAAAAAAAGATATGAAAAGAGAACCAAATAACCTACGAAAAGATAATCAAATAACCTAGGTGCTGAACGCTGTGAAACCACCTACACAAGCATTTACCGCCATGAATATTTTAAAAATGAAGGATAATGTTTAACTCAGATATGAAACATTTGTATGGTCTCATGGTATTAGTTCACATCAACTTGGAAGTGGTTCTACTATGCTTTTCGAGTTTAAGTGGATTAGATTAAGAGCTATTCCACATGAAACATTATTAACTGTGTTATCACATGAAAGAATTAATAAAAATATCAAGACTCAAATTCCAAGATATATGTGTTTCTGTGATCTCCAGGAGTGCCTCATAAACTAAACATATCCAAGATTCTTGGTCTACAATCTTTATACCAGCGCATTTGAGAAAGAGATGGAGGCATGTCACATCAACAATTAAACTCACAATTCCAAACAGTATAATATTCACCAACTCTTCATTGTTTAAACATTGGTAGGACAGGAGGAGATATACCGAAAAGCTAAAATTGCTATATTATTGCTGGAACGTGATTGAGCATTTATGCAAATGCTTATATTGTATTTGCCGCTGGCATGAATCTAGATGCAGATGAATTTCTAAAAGTACTAAGTTGTGGGTGTAACAGTTCCTCATTTTACTATATTCCTTGATGATATACATTCATTGATGATTCTAAACTGTTCCCCTTCTATTCAATAAGGAAATGGTAGTAAGGACAAAAGAGGGAACTAGTTAAAACTTAAAACAGAGCCATGAGCAATAGATAAGTTGAAAATTCAATCATGGCCTACAAAAGGCAATATAAAAAGGGGCAGACCCAGTGCCGGAGGCTCCCACATGAGTGGGGTCTGGGGAAGGGAAAAAACGAGGCAAGCCTTCCCCCCTGCAAAATCTGCGGAGAGGCTGCTTCGAACCCACGACCTGGTGACTCAGTGAGACAGCTCTCACCACTGCACCAGGCCTGCCCTTCTACAAAAGGCAATATACGCTATAAATGTAAATTGATAGTGCAAGAAGCATACCAGTTGAACGCACAGCTATTTCTCTTATGCGTCTAACCAGCCCAGTAATTGGATCACAGAACACTTTGGTCTCAAGATTTCCTTCCAAATAGAGAACAGTTCTGAAATGTTGCAATCGATGCATATTTGAATGAATCAGCATTTCTTAAGGTGAGAAAATCAATCAACCTAACTAATCAAACTGTGATAAAGGAACTGCGAATCTTATAAAACTATAATAAAACTGAACAATGCTGCACTTCACCAAACCAAAATGAAATCCACCCAAAACATGAAAGTATCCACTAAATCATGTCAATAGAAACCTACCAAGTGAACTAAAAATGGCTATATATGCAATTATCTACAAAGAGAACCCTGCACTCATTTTTCCATTCAAATAACGTCAGTTATAGTTCGAAATGGGGGCTAAAGGACTAATGTTATCCTCCCTTTTTGCATCAAGTTTCAAAGCATGGCACATTAACCATGGAGGCAAATCCATACTCGGTATATGGCAACCAAATGGGAGTAACCAAAGCTGCCCTCTTGCTAACTCCCAGCCATTCGGCTGAGAATTACATTTCTCTTGTGAAGGTAAATTCAAACAGTACACGACTACAAGGAGGCAAGGGCTCACCCAGTCTTGACGTTGTTGAGCGCGACGGTGCCAAGGCGCTCTGGGTAGACGCAGACACGGTGCCACTGCACGGAGCACCTGTCGGCGTACTGGTGCGGCTCCTCGCGATCCAGCGGGCGGCGGTTGTTGCGGATGCCGCCGGTGCCGAGCGAGAAGAGCACGACGGTCCTCCCATTCCGCAGCCGCTTCTGCATCGGCTCCTGCCCGACCTTCCCCACCAGTATCGCCTTCACAACCCCACCAAAAGCGGGAAAGCACCGCGTGAGCTCAGATCAGCTGGCACCAAATCAAACCCAAAATGGGAGGGGAGAGAATCAAGAGCTTCAGTCCAACCTTGTAGATGCCGGGATCGAGGCCGTTCTCGAGAGGGCGGGTGGTGTCGGGCGGGCGCGGGCGGTTCGACGTCTGCTGACGATCCTGGTCCGCGGGGGGCTGGTCGTGCTCGTGCTTAGGGTCGGAGTCCGCATCGGATCCGTTGAACGAGGGGGAAGAGGTCGTGGAACTGGGCGTCGTTGTGGTGGAGAAGGAGCTTAGTGGGGATGACAGGAAGCGGCGGGACAGGATGAGGCGGTGGGCGAGGAGGGAGGCGGAGGAGGCCGCCATGGATTCACGCCGCGAGGGGTGGGGACAGGCAGTGAGGCAAGAATCGTCGACGGCGGTAAACCCTCTGCAAAACCTAGCTGTCATGGGTCAGGTGGACGGGGCCGTTGTTATGGGCCGAACTGTATCGCCACAGCGGGCTGGGCTGTATCGCCACGGTGCGCTACTTTGGAAGCGGATTACACTCATCGCCCCGTTCGCTTCGCTGAAAAAACAAACCGACACACTATTCCGGTTGATTTGTCGTGAGAGAAAAACACTGTTCCGACTAAAAAAAACAAGCTGAAAAAGACGGATTATAAGAGAAGTGAACATGGCCAATTGAGACCGCGACACGTGATTCATGACCGTCCAAACACAAACATTTTTCATCTGGTTCCGTATGAATTGTACCTGTGGTTGCATACTTGGAACATTGGTATGCTAGGTAGAGGGTGTTCGTCCGTCCAGACGTCCTTTTCTGGCATGCATACCAGCTAATAAACCTGTGCTCTTCCGTTGTGCTGGTTGAATAAGAAAATGAGAAGGAGACGAGAGACCTGGTCCGCACGTCGATGGTGACCCTTCCTGCCCCTGCTCTATCGGTTGTCCCGTTGCTCTTGCTCTGCAGCCCGTTCTGTCGTCGACGGTCACCCCGCGCTGCTCGTTTCCATGCTCCACCGTGCTGCCCCGCTGCTTCATGCCACTGCTTCTGCTCTGAGGCTGCTTCGCCTGACGACGCGGGCACCGCCGCGCTCACGTGTGGCGACCGCTCCCTCGGCCACCAGCTAGCCACTGAGGCCGCTGCGCAAGGAGAAGCGTTGAGCCCTGGCGCGGAAGCCATCCGGCCTCGCCTCCTGCTACGGTGCGCCCTGATGCAGACGGCGAAGGAGGCCGCACCGAGATACGATCCATGTTGCAAGTGTACATTTCAAATGTTTCAGATGTTTTAGAGGTATGTTGCAAGTGTTTCATAAGGATGTTGCAAAAGAAGATCGGGATGTTGCACATGTTGCAATGGGCTATACACGTAAGTTTCAAGTGTATGTTCCAAATGTTAATCTGTTTGAGACGTATGTTGCAAGTGTTTAATTTGGATGTTGCAAAACTAGATCGGAATGTTACATATATATGCAAGTGTTTCAAGTGTTTTTATACTAATGTTGCAAGTGTTTTATCTTGATGTTTGCAATGGCTATACACGTGTTTTCATGTTTTTTCTGATGTTTTGCAAGTGTTTCAGACGTATGTTGCAAGTGTTTCAGCTATTTCGGATGTATGTTGCAAAAGTAGATCGGGTGTTGCACATGTTGCAATGCGCGTGAGAAGTGGAGGGGGCACGAGCAGTCCAATGCGGGTGTCGTCCGAGTGGCGCGGCCCCGCGTGGACGTGCGAAATGCAGGCTCGAGCGGGGGCGTGCTGGCCCAAGCGCAGGAAATGGGAGTACAGCACGGGGCGTCCGTCTAAACGTCCGGGCGCTAGCACTGCCCCCAACACATGTGCATCTTGACCCTCTCGTATCTACTGTTCTCGTAACGTTACACATCCAATGGACTATTGATCTGGACTCTGGAGAGACACTCACAGCTCAGACAGTCTTGCTGGCGCGCGCGCGACCGATTGATGCTAGATCAGTAGCACGCACAGTGACACGCACGCAGATGTGCATGTCCTGCGGAAACATCTCGTCAGCTGCCTCTCGTGCCATTGCATGTCCCACGCACGTCGAGCACCGCCATGCCGTGAGCCCGGCTGGGCCGCCGCCGCCTCGGACACGCACACGCGGCAGGCCAGATCGATCGTTGGACAATTTCCATAGCATAGGGGCGGCGGCTGATGCAGCATGCAACTGCCGTACTTACGTGTGTGTGGGCACGGCCTGGTCTCTGGTGGGGTACAGATCGGATGCCATGGTACAGGTGCATATACATGCGAGAATTATATTGCTCGGATTTGGCATCCAACGACGGATCACACGACTGGCCGGTATAGAAAGAGCGACGCCGACGTACGGTGCAATGTATCCCGGCGACAACAGTATGATGATGAGGCATGCATGGTCCAGGGATTAGGGATACACATGAAGCTTCTGTTGAGCACATTTCAATTAGTCCGCAGGCTACATTGTCTTTGTCTGCGCGCGCCAGAGGCCAGAAGCCAGATGCCATGCATGATAGCATATGGTCGTCCTCCTTGTAAGACGAGATCTGATTCGCAAGCGAGCGAGGGAGACCACACAAGAACGTGACGATCGACGCCTCGGCCCAGGGCGGCCAGCGCCAGAGATCTCGGGTGGGCCTGCGTGCGTGAGACTAGGCAATCAGAGACGACGGAGGGCACGGTACAGCACCGGTGCACAGCACAGCACAAGCACGACATGTGACTAGAGATAGCTAAGCTAGCCTCCGGCGACAAATCACCCGCACCTTTCTCTGTGTGTTTCCGTGAGACCCTGACTACGCCCGCCCGTCGCCGGCCGGACCACGCCATGCATGCATGCACGGGCACGGCCTAGGCTTATGGCATGTGGTGGACTTGGTCCCCAGCGCCGGCCAGCCAGTCCGGCGGCCCGGCCCTCTGCCATGCGCCCATGCCTCACTAGTCACTACTCACTGCCAATCACGCTCCTTCATTTCACTCCCTCCTAGCCTGCCTGCGACGCTATCCACCCCACCGCTGCCTAGCTCCTCCAATTATAACCTGTGCTCGAGAGATAATTCTCCATAGATGTATAGATTCTCGAGAGGAGAGGTGCCCCCCCCCCCCCGACCGCCCGGATCCCATGAATTGGGGGGAGAAGTTTTATGTCACATATGGTAATGGCCGCATCTATAGTACCCAAAATTTATTTCGAACTTTCTATTTTAAAAATAAAAATAGAAAAATAGGAGAAAAATATATGACAGGAAAAAAATAGGAGAAAAGAAAAACCAAGAGAAGCAAAAGTAACTTTCGAAGGTTTAGCTACGGAAGCCCTACCTTGCAGCCCTGCACATTGATCTGCATCTGCTCCACAGTCCATAATCTGATACCCAATTAAAACCATTATCCATCAACCCGTGTTTTTTTATACGAGTTAGAAGAATCTTATGACATAATCATGAAAAAGTTTGTGTTTAATACATTCAGCTAACAAAAATGTACTTAGCTTTAATTTGCACAAACATTTTCTCTTTGTTAGTTTTCTAACACAAAACATAAATATCCATCCATCCTAAAAAGAATACAATTCTAGATCCGAACAAGCTATATATTTTTAAGTTCAACTAAATTTATAGAAAAGATATATCAATATTTGTGTGATGTGTCACCAAATAGGTTTACTACGAAAATATATTTTATGATTAATTTAATGATACTTATTTGGATAATAAATGTTCATCTATTTTTGCATAAATTTGATCAAATTTAAAATTGTTTGACTGTTCATAATGGAATAACTGCACTCTTTTTGGATGAATATATTATAATGGTCTAGCTCCACTAAACATTGCTATTTGGCTTATATAGCAGCAAAATATGTTTAGCACTGCTATAATATTGACCAACGCTATTTATTCCTTGCTCTTGATGACTAATCTATGCACCTTTGTTGTGATCTTTAATTAATAAATGATGTAATGAACTACTTCCTCTATTCTAAATTATAAGACATCTTGACTTTTCTAGATGCATTAGTTTTACTATGTACTTATTAGATATATACTATATCTAGATGCGTAGCAGAAGCTATGTATATAGATAAGCCCAGGGGCGGATACATGTTCATGGTAGGGGGTGCGGCCGCACCTACGAAAGATGAGAAAAACATTAATTATGTTTAATTTTTCACCATATACACACCCATACGGTAAAAAAACTATGGAAGGCTAGCGCACCCCCTTGAATTTGCTTAGCTCTGCCCCTGGATAAGCCAACATGCCTATAAATTGGAATAGAGGGAGTATTCAATATGTGGCAGAATCGCCCGAAATAACGCACTTACGAAGGTGCTTGTCTTCCACTAGACACTAAACACCCCGAAAGTAAGCTACATCGGGCGGGTTCCGTCGGGCACACCCCAAGGGAGAGCCCGAATAATCCACGTTTTTTCCCAAGGATCCAATAATGAGAATAAGTTACAATACTTAGTCCATTTCATACATCCATATTTCATAAAAATATATAATTACAGTACCAAATTTAGAGTGTGGAAATTTAACAGCGGAATAAAAAGAAACATCTATCGATAAGATACAAGGATCTATCTGTGCCCACCAGAAGAATCCTTCACACAACGGCTACTCCTCAAGCTGCACCTGCAACAGGGGTAAATAAACCCTGAGTACACAATATACTCGCAAGACTTATCCGACTAGTGGGAATAATTTCCCGACTCCAATGGATATGATAAGCTTTATGATTTGCTGGGTTTCCTTTTTGCAGAAAGCAATACTAATAGTGAATCCTTATTTATGTTATTATTAACAGTCATGATTAATTTATTATCTAGCCATTCTATGTAAGCACCTGTTCTACTTTTAAGCAAGAGTTGAACAAACAATTCCATTTCATCATATTTCCTCTTTCAGTTCTTACTACGGTGCTAGACTGTAGACAAGACGTACCGGAACACTGGCGATTTGCGAATTAACGTGCCCAGCTGGGTACTCCGAAACACACGCCCCGCTTGTACCCCAGGCACAAGCAAGACCAACCCATCACTCTCCTATCATGGGGTCCAGGTCCCCGTCCAAACTTAGACTCCAAGCCCCCGCTCCTAAGTCCCGGACTCAGTGCGGTGCTTAGACCTCCACCATCCCCGCCTCCAATCAGTCGGTCCGGAAAGAGCCAAAACCCACGACAAGAGAGCAATAAGTCTTCTCTGCGCCCATACCCAAGTATGTGCTCGGGATAATAAGTCTGTGACTTGTCTAGAACCCAATGCAACGGCCGGTCCTTAACCGACACAGATAGAGAAAAAGTGTAACCAAGCTATGCCCTGTTGGCCGTAGGACACAACCTCTTACACCCATCAATACCCA